ATTTAATGGTTTTTTTGGACTTAAGCAGTTCTATCTTGAGAGCTCTACTCGAGAGATCAAAGGGTTACCTGATGGGCGTAGGTTTAGTATATCTCAAGAGAGAATATTAAATAAATTTGGGAAAATCTCAGCTTATGGGAATGACAATTAGTCTTGGATAATCGGACCCACCAATATTCATTACATTGGTTAGGTGGACCAAAAGTCCTAGCAATTTCATTCATTGCATATTTGGTTAGTGATCACTTTTGTTTCTATTTTCTTTTTCTAGTTTTTATTTTCAGTAGTTCTTGCTTAAATCTGAATTTCGATTGTCTAAATAATTAGGGAAGATTGTGGTTCTAATACTTATTTTGTTAAATCCCCGTGGGAATAATATTATTATACTACTTGATAACTAGTGCACTTGCTAGGGTTATATATTTATAGATATCAATAGAATCACCCCAAAACCATCTTAGCCATCCATTAGAAACCTTAGGGCGTCCCTGACTTTATTAAATCCTAGCTGCCGCCCCCATCTTTCTCCCTATTCCCAGTTGTGTCCACCCTTCTCTATAAAAGGGTCCCAGGGGCCCTGTAGAAGGGGTTGGTCAATTCACCCAGTTAACCAAGCTAAGGTTTTTTTGAGGAGTTCAAGGGTTGTAGAAGAGGATGATGCCCAAATCTAGTAAGGAGGGGTTCCTACAAGCTGTTCAACCATTCTGCAACTACCGCCACTGGATCTGATTAACCATTATTTTCTTTTCTGTTATTTTTATTTCTGCAATATTTTAGATTTAATTCTTGTTCGTATCTCTGTTTTGCAGATCTGAATTCGTTCGGTTGAAGGCTAATGTGTTTCGAGGGGTTCGAGGGTTGTAGAAATGACGAACGCCCGGTTCTTGTCAGGAGGGGTTTTTGCAAGCAGTCTGGTCGATTGTAGCTACAACCATCGAATCGGGATTTTGGATCATTTATTTATTTATTTATTTTTTATTTCCTTTGTTGATTCCATACTTTATTAAATTCTGATTTTTATTTATTGTTTGGTTTAAATTCGAAACATTTAATTTCAGCAATAGTGGATTTTATTTTCGTATTTTCTTCCATTCCCGATTGCATTATTTTGCCTAGATCTAAGTATATATTAATTTTTCACTTGTTTCACTGTGGATACGACTCGTTCTCACCCAATTACTATGTTAGTAGTTGTTTGAGAAACAATAAAAATTATAAATATTTAAATTGGTGTTCAAGAGTGTTTAACGATGCGCTTCCGGACACACCACCCTCCGCACGCGCATGCCCTTGGGAAACGAAACGACGCTCCTTCTGTCTCGTCTTGGAAACGGTTCAGAGGCTAAATCGACCGATTCACTCAAACCGGCTATACCCGGGTCATCCAACTCGGAAAAATACACTTTAAATAGTTCCTCAGCCGAAGACCTCAAAGCTCTTCCATGCCACACCGCGTTCAAGCATTACACTCCTCCGCTCCAGAACTAGGGGCGTGGTGTATGGGTTATGGCTGAGTTGGCCCCCGGGTGCCACATGTCTCCTCTGTGACCATCTTATATCTTTGGCCACGTTGACACCACCTATATAGATAAGGAGGAAGGATTCGCCGGGGATCGGGACTTATCTTGAACACCTTGGTGGACAACCTCATCCCGACGACCCTAGAAGCCTCATCCAAAATCGACACGAATCCTTAGCTATAAGTAGGTTACCCCTGCTCGAGGTAAGAGACTTTTGACTCTTCAAACTTCATATTGTTACTCTGCCTCTGCTCAGACTGGCACATTTCTCTCAACTTCAGTGTCAGAGTGCTTACCCGGGAAACAACTCCTCAGACCTCTGATCACTTTCTTATTTCAGATCTTAGAAAATAGTTTCGTTGTTCCACCTCGGTTTCGCCAACTGATAGGATTATTTTTTTATAGGAAATTTGATTCACATTCAAACTCGAGCCGAGCCAAACTTAAACATATAAGCTTTTGAGCTGAACCGAATTCAAATTCAAATTGAACTTAAACCTCATGGATTTTTGGTGAAATTAACTTGAATAGCCAAACTATTCAACTCACTGGGCGATAACCCACCCCTGCATGATCTGAGGTTCCTATACCCCCGGATACACTCCCTTTTCTGAATATACTTTAACCCATTACAAGAATAATCCCTCCACATTCTTAAAATTCTCTTACAACCTCTAAAGTTACCTTTTAATTTGGCATTTTCCGATTTCAAAATATGGGAAAAACTTTGGCCGTTGGGGGCCGAGAATGGGAATGCCACGTTGCCATGAAAATGGGGTAAAATAGTAATTATCCTTATTTCCTTTTGACAAAACATTAACAGCATAGGCTGTTGGTTTCCGACAGCCAAAATTATCCCCAAAATATTGTCCATTCTCACTTCCCAGAAATAACTTCAACCCAGTTACTCAACAGCCGAAAACCATGCTATATCGGTTAGGGTAATGCATGGACCAACTCCAAAAGCCATGCTTTGGTTCGTCCGCAAAAGAGAGAATTCAGCAAACAGATTTGAATTGGAATCCCCTGCACTTGTTCCTGGAATTTTTCAACGTATGTCAAATATTGAGTGGAAGTGTAGGAGACTAGTGCAGAGATTCCAACTCAAAGAGACAACCCAGAAAACAAAGCGAAGTGGCTTGCCTTTGTAGCCCACTCCTTGTCTAATGTCTCCTCTCGTCTCATTGATCTCAATATCTGATCCCCTTTGCCCTTATTTTCAACCGCCATATATAACTCTCTCCCCATAAAATCCGGAAAAAAGCAAGAAAAATAATCAATTTTTAATGCAAGGAATCAACAATAGTACCAATAATAAGTACCGAAAAGAATGCAAAACAAGATCCACCTCGAACATCCCTCCTTCCCTCTCCCGGTCTCAACCACTCTCTCTCTCCATTTTCTCTCCTGATACCATTCAATTCAATGTTTTTCTACAGAAATTGAACGAAACCCAGATAATAGAATATAGAATCAGAGATACGGAGATACCCAGAAGAGGTCCAGAAATTCCGACAATTGGTGTTGATTTTCATTTATGTTTAATTTATAAAGAAAAAAGAAATAATGAGAGAGGAGGAGTCAAACTGGTTTTCCAGGTGGGAGGAAGAGCTTCCATCTCCAGATGAGTTGATATCTCTTTCTCAGACCCTTATTACCCCTGATCTTGCCATTGCTTTTGACATCCGAAACCCTAACCCATCTTCACAACCTCCACCAACACCACCACCACCTCCTTCTTCTCAACCTCACTCGGTCGAGTTCGACTCGGGCGAGTTGGGTTCCGGTGCCGCTGGCGATGAACCGGCTCGGACCCTCAAGCGTCCACGCCTTGTGTGGACTCCTCAGCTCCATAAGCGGTTCGTGGACGCAGTGGCACATCTCGGGATCAAGAACGCTGTACCGAAGACGATAATGCAGTTGATGAGTGTTGATGGGTTGACTCGGGAGAACGTCGCAAGTCATCTCCAGAAGTACCGGCTTTACCTGAAGAGGATGCAAGGACTTTCCGGTAGTGGCGGTGGTGGTGTTGGGGCGGCGGGGTTACCTCCCGCTGATCCTGCGACGGATCATTTGTTTGCCAGTGCTCCTGTTCCGCCTCACTTCTTGCATCCAGCGCGGCCGGCATCTGATCACTTCTTGCCGTTTGTACCGGTCACGTTGCAACATCATCATCAGCAGCAGATGGCGGCAGCTGCCGTGGCCGCAGCGCATCAACACCACCAGCAGCAGCAACAGTTCCATCATAGGCAGGTGGGACATTTTGGGTCGCCACCGGGTGGTCAATTCGAGCATGGGTTTCTGACGCGGCAGCCGCAGCCGGTGCACAGGATGATGGCACCTATTCCAGGTCAACCGCCGGCTTATGTAGAGGATTTGGAATCAGCAACTGGAGGAGGAGGAGGAGGAGGAGGAGGAGGGAGGAAGGTTCTTACTTTGTTCCCTACTGGGGATGATTGAATTTTGGTAATTGTTGCCTTCTCTCTACTTTATGCCCTGCATCCTTTGATTCAGTGTTTCGGTTGCATAAGGATTTGTGTTGGGAGAGGGTTTGTAGGAATTGGAGCCGATTGATTTCAGTTTGGGTTAGGATCTTAATTACTGTTGGTGTTGTTGGTAGTAATTTTAATGATGGTGGTAGATATTAGGGTGCGATGAAAGTCAAAATTCCCTATCCAGATCCAGTAATTGATTGTATTCTGCCTTTGTTGGTTGCAGAACCCGTTCCAGTTCTAGGTGCTTTCTAGTGATTATTGTAAGTGGCTAGTGCCAATCCAGTTGTTCTTGGTAGTTTAGAATCTCATAAAATGTAATCAAATTGTTGGTACTGGTTATTGTACTCATTGCTATGGTGACTGATATTGGCCATAATGTCACTTTAGGTATGGGTAATAATTGGCATTAATAATGGTGTTATTGTTTTTAGGTTGGTGAGTTTTTTCAGCGAGTGGTTGTCTGTGCTATTATTTGTTAAACACGTTGACTTTTGGGCGTCTCTGCTGTTTGGTGGTGTCAGTACAAGTACTGCTGTCTTGGAATTGGTCTTCTTAATGATGGAGAAGCTGGTGATAAATGTGTCAAGGGCAATTTTCCAAGCATTGAGCTCGTGGGTAGATACTGATGATGGATAGTGCAATCTATTTCTTATAGAGGCTTCAGAAAGAGGGTGGTATCCTTGTCCAAAGCATTTTCTACATAGTTTATGGGACATTCCCAGGTAGCTTTTATTTGTAGGTTAATTTTTCTTTTGTTTCTTAATTTGTTGTATGTAGAGCAGAGGAATTTGAACCATGGAATTGTGTCTTCGTGCTGTAAATTCTTTGGTTTGATGTCAGTAGGAGATCCCAATATTAAGGGGAGCTTGTCAGAAAATTCTGATGTTATTAGAATATTAAATGTATAAGAATGATAAAATAAGTCCCATTTATCTGAACTGGATGATATTCAATACTCTTTCTGTTTCTCTTGTGTCGTTGTGTATATTTCCTTCATGAATTATAAAATGAAGTCAATGGGAATTTCGTTTTCTATCACTTGTGAATGAGCAAGGCCATTACTCAATGTTGCTCCCAGCTCTCTGGGTCTGGGGTCTTGGGACAGGGTAGACTGGATACAGTCCTAACCTTTGGCATTTTTTTCTTCACACAAAGTGGCCGCTCTCAAATAGCCACATGTTGATCCTAGTCTCAATTACTTTTTCTTTTCTTTTTTTTTTAACATAACTATTGATCTAGGACCGCTGGATTACCTGTATGGAGTTTTTCATTTTTCCCCTTTTGACAAGTAGTTGTAATTTGTAACGGCAACAAACATAAACAACAAGAAAGATGGTGCCAGCAACAATAACAATAATAGCAGTAGCAACAACAACAACAGAAGTGGTAATTCAGTCTTCTACAAGAATCTTCTCTAAGAAAGAAATTATGGGGGGAGCAGAGAGACAGTGTTTCTAAACAGGCTAGACCCAAGTTAAGGTTCTCCAAATGTGGCAAAGAAGAGAAAAATTGAGTAAAAGAGTAAGGAATTATCCACGAATCTCTAAGCTTGACTGTACTCATCAAGAGTTGTAACCTTGTTTTATGACTGCAAATTATCTTATATGCATCATAATGTAGTAATTATTCTGGGAAAAACCACAGATCCAGATTTGGGCCAAAATCTTCTAAAAAACAAGAGGATTCTGCTGTGCGCTCAACATCATTCATGGACCTCATTGTAGCAGCTGGATGCATGAAGAAGTTTCTGTAGATATAGCTTTATTAGATCCACTTAACCTTCTTTAGCTAAATATCGGTCAAATCTCCTCTTTTGGAAACTTCAAAGGAAATAAATTCTACTTTGAGATGCCAGCAGGTAATAATCTTAGTTAATCACTGAGTTTACTATTGAATTGTTTTATGGGTTATTTCGTATTTAGTTTAGTTAGGATTATACTTACTTTAATTTAGATTGTAAGAATTATTCAGGGATTTAAAAGATGTTAGAAGATGTTTAATGTTTTATTTATTTAATTATTCTTAGGGGTTGTTTGAATAGCTGAAGTGGGTTAACTGAATGACTTATTGCTTTATCTTTTAGTAAGTCATTAAGTAGGTTCCTTAATGGCTGGATATCATGTTAGATTGATTACTATACCCCTAAATGTATTACTATATGACTATTTTATCCACTAGAGGATAAAGTATGAGTCATTCAGTTTCGCGTCTTTAACTGTTATCAAATGGGTCCTTAGAAGTCAATATATTCTGTTCTTATAAGCATATTTCATCCTGAGTCCATAGATAGATTGAAGCTTTTGTAACGAAACTAGGGAATGCATTACATTTTTATGAACAATTTTGATTCATTTTTTTTTCTTTATGCAGACTTCAGACATTTGTGAAGGTGCAGACTTTTTCTTAATCTACAGATCTATTTCAAATCTGATATGGCTTTGTTCCTACACATGAGATAAAGCATTTCTATATTGTGAATTTTATCCTACATCGAGCTTAGTTCTTCTACCCACAAGATGCCGTCCACACCCTACCCACAAGATAATACAGCCGTACATTGGGAGTGTCTCCCAACATGTATGCTGTCATTCATGGGGAGATATTCCTGATGTGCAGCTGCAATGCCTTGTGGGCAGAGCATGGGTAGCATCTTGGGGGAAACATATCCAGATTCTCCTATATCAGGTATGGGGAAATTTAGTATTTCTTCATCCATTCTCATTCAACCAATTAGGTTTTTCTTTTTATTTAATGGATATATCCATTTTTCTCAATGATCCAGAATTCTTTAGAAATTGTAATTTATCCTCACAAGGTTTGATCATAGGTTATCCCTGTAGAAAATGGTGTTCCATTTAGAAAGTCTTTAATTTAATTTTGTAATTCATTTCTGATGCCTGGTTCCATAGGAACTCATTTCTGTCCCAATACCGGTTTTCACTACCGTACCTCCAGCCTGCTACCCTCCTATATATTTGTATCACAACCAAATCTCCTAAGTTAGTTTTAAAATAGCTCTTTTTTCATTAGAACTCCCAAGTCCTCTTTTGTCTCTTTGTGTACACACATAAAGTAGCTTCACCAGATTTAGGTGCATTTTTCTTCAGAAATGCTTCAAGTTTTTTCTTAGATGGTTCATGGTTGTAGAGTTATTATAGTTTTTTTGTAATTCCAATAAAAACTTGGAAACCTCAATAACACACGCAGGATAATAAATAGAAACAAAGAATTAGAAGTCTTTTATGGTTGATAGGCTGGGCATGAATCTTGTGTTCATGGCTTAGAGATACATAAGCTATCTGTTTGAGTTACATTATGAAATCCTTCTACTCTGATAATAAAAACAACTAAAGCATCTGGAAGAGATCCAGCAGTTATTTTGGGCTAAATTGTAAGGCTAGGTATGGGGACTGAAGTTTCTAGTTGTATTTAATTATCTGTATGGGTGTGGGTAACTTATCCACAGATTTGTAACCTCAAGTTTGATATATTGTTTAATAATATCTACCTTTACTGATGGTAGCAGCATGAGAAACCTAGGGCCCTCAGGATTGGAAGGGGTCTTTAAGAAATGAAGAAGGTCTCATGGTGGCAATACTCATGGGTCCAATTGGTGTGGGAAATTCCTTAAGGGTAGAAATCATGACTGTTATTCAAGGGATTCAGCTCGAAACAGAACAGATTTTTGGTCATATAGAAATGAAATTAAGAAGTTCTGGTGGCTGATTAGGAATGGTCAAGTTCAAACCAGATGGGTTCATTGGTCAGTAAATAGCATGGCTGATGCCTTAGCAAGGCAAGGGGTGGGTATGGATCATCTTTTTTGGGTAAAATTGTAAATTAAATGTTAAGGGGGAAGAAGGAATAAGAGCTTTCTTCTCTAAAATCTGTATAGAAACTCTGTATTTTATTAATTTATTAATAAATGTGATGGTTACTTATCAAAAAGGAAAAAAAAAACTTTATTAAGGATTATAATAATTATAATTTGTATTGTGATACTAAGCTTCCCCTGAGTGGAAGAGGTTCCCTGCTCTTATCAAATTACATTTCTTTCCAAATAAATCATGCCATTGCATTTCTATCCCAGCATACCCCAGTACAAGTAATTCCTAATAACCCCTTGTTATGCTAAAGTGCCAGCTAGTCTATTTGCTGATCCATACATCCAAAGCACATCCACTATAGCCTTCATCGACATCATAATCATCCATTGTATTTTTGTAAATCGAAGGAGTCGACTCTTGGTTCTTCAACCATTGCACCACCACTTTGGGATTTCCTTCTAATATCATGTTTTGAAGGTTGCAATTCTTAGCCACCTTAGGGCCTTGTACAACTGTGGTAATTTCTGCCATTATGGAATTCCCTTGGCCAATAGGGCCTTGCACAACTTGTGAGCGGGGCTGCTCATTGTGTAAAAACTTTGAGATCATTCAAACCCTTTTTATTGACAATTTTGTGAGAAACTGAAGATTAATAGAAAGCTCTTCATCAACCAAGCTTTCAATTTCATCTCATTGGTCACCTCCTCAAGGGGACTTGCTAAAATGAATTTTGATTGAACCCCAGGAATCTCTGAAAGCTCCCTACTCCAGAGGTAATGGATTACCTTAATTGCAACTATCAAAATTTATTTTTGGCAAGTCCCCTTGAGGAGGTGACCAATGAGATGAAATTGAAAGCTTGGCTGATGAAGAGCTTGCTATTAATCTTCAGTTTCTCACAAAATTGTCAGTAAAAAGGCTTTGAATGATCTTATAGTGTTTACCCAATGAGTGGCCCTACTTGTGATTAGTTATGATGCCATCTCTAGTTCTTAATTCATTACCCAATAACCTTTCATTTGTTACTTATCAAAAAAAAAAAAAAACACGAGACAAAAAAACTTGCATTTCTTTCTTTCTAAATTGTCAAATGTGACTGGCTGACTGCTCTCATGCATTTCCATACAACTCTTGCTCTTCTAGTGTGGATGCTGATAAAATTAGGTTAAAATAGCCCACTCATGGTTGAAGGAGGTGTCCACCTGTAGCAAACAAATCAAGTAACCACCCCAAAGTTCTCACCACAAAAGGATAGGAGATTAGTAAATGGTAGGTATGGTTGTCAAGACACCTAGGCAATAAGGTGCACATGGATGTTTGCCTTGCTTAATTGCCTACCTATTGAAGGGATGAGAGATCCATAATATGGATGGCCGAACCCTGCAGGTAGGTTGGGCGAAATTTCAAAAATTTCTCTCTCCCATGTGGGAATCACATTCCCTATTTTAGAAAACTGCATTTTCAAGGATCAATCTTAAACCTAAACCAGACCAGATCTGAAACCAAAAGGGAGTGGAGGGATATACCTGATACGAAGTAGTAATAACCTCCAATGAAGGTGTTTACGCCCAAGGAAAAATCCAAAGACTGCTTCCACCGAAAATGACACGGTGCAGGATGAAGCAGAATCAGCAGGATGGTTCTTCAGTAAGAACCGAATTCTTCAGCAAGAATCTGATGGAGGGTTAGTGAGCACAACTTCAGATTACCTTTTCTGCCAAAAGGTAATATCAAGAACTTTTCTTGATCGCACCCACAGGTGGAGATCGAACTGGTATGGCGGCAAGAGCTGGAGAGGGAGACAGTGCAGTCAAACTGTGTTGTCTCTCTCTGGAATTCAGTAGTTAGTCAGATGATTTCTGATGTGTACTGAGGGTTCGCGCTACTCTCCTATTTATAGCCTTAACGAGAGGTTCTCCTAATCCCATTAGGAGTTTCCTAATCCAAATCTTGTATTTGGATCTGGACTCTCTTTAA